AGTCAGCCCTCAAGGGTAGGGCAGCAGTCGTGGCGTACCCACTCTCCCAAGAAAAAAGGACAACTTTGACCTCCTCGTGGCCGAGTTGAGATTGGCCTTCGGCTTGGATAGTCTCACGGCGTGGGCGGCGTTCTGCTCGAGAAGAATGGGAGAAACGGAACCTATTGATAATTATGTTGCTAACCTTCGGGTACTATTGGACATAAGTCACCCTCGTCTAGGACAAGGGGCTAAGAGCGAGATTCTACGCAGTCAGTTCGTCTGGGGTCTCCCTCAAGGAACTGCCAAAGCTTTAGTCCTAGCTAAGTATGAGGACGGTACTGTGCCGTTGGAATCCCTCGTTATTCTTGCCAAGGACCATCTTAAAGCTGCGCGCTTCGAGGGGTCGAAGAGCATCGAGATAGCCGCTGCAGCTATGCGTATGCGTGCAGACCAAGGCAAGGGCAAGAGAGGGTGGCATAGGTCTCCTGGCAAGGGCAAAGGTATGGCAAGGGAGGCGGACTATACGGGTAAGGGTCAAGGAGGCAAGGCGGAAGTACGTTGTTGGGGATGTAATGAAAAAGGTCATGTTCGGCGAGATTGTCCCCGGCGGTCAAACGGACCAAGGGCCCACGAGCAGTAACGGATGCTGTCGTGGATTCTAGCCCGGTTCCATCCGGCTTAGCTGCTGCTTGTGCCAACATTGACTGCTCACGTTTACCAATTCTGGATTTTGGTCTACAATCCCCTACATGATGACATCATGATGATGTAGGCTACATCTGCTACTATCCATTCTTTGTCTGGTCTATGCGATCCTTGTTGTGCAACCACTCTTATTACCAGTAAGGTTGCCCAGTCCCTTAGATTACCTATCTCCTCGTCACCTAATACGACTTCGATTACTTTGAGTAATAGCCCTATTGAATGTGAAGGGTGCTGTGACATTTGTATAACAATTCGGTCTAATTCTTGGCAATTGAATTGTCTGGTAGTATCTTTGCTACCTAACAATCTTCAGCTCGTGGTGGGCGCTGACTTCTGGCGGAATCTACCTTATGATAATCATAATATGATTTGGTATTTCACTGGTCGAAGTCCGGTCATGTAGAGGCTCAGCTTGGTGCTGCTGCAATTCCCCTGAAGCCGATTCGATCATACTGTTTGGAATCGCGCGGGGTTAAGGAGTATTTAGACGGCGAGGAAAATACGTATACAGTTCTTGAAGCACCAGACTGTACAGCTATACGAAGACCTATACGTAATGGTTCCTCAATTTCGTATGAATGGGAAGTAGCGTGGCGTTGGCTCAACAATGAGGCGCCTACGTCTATATCCTGTCCCGAGGAGTATTCCCTTCCATCCCTAACTCCTGACCAACTTTCCTTACTCCACCAGGAGATTGATGCATGGATAGCAGATGGTTGGCTTCTGGAAGTTCCTTCAGACCAGGAGTATAAAATTTGATGCTGTCTACCTATTGTACCTGCAATTAATGAGCTGAAAACTACTCCAGTCCGACCCACACTCAATTTTGCCTATCTCAACTCTTATTGTATTCAAGCTAGTGATCCTTTCGCTGCCGACTGTGGGCGAGAGCTACGACGCTGGCACCATTATCCCCAAGCCCAAGTACTCGACGTTCGGCGAGCATACCCGTCATTGAGGATCCGTGATGACCTCAGTTGGTACCAG